ATAAGTTAAAAAGAAAAAGAAAAGGAAAATTAAAATAAAATAAACAAAAAAAGGAAAAAAAAAAAAAAAAGAGGGAAATTAAAAATAAAATAAAAAGAAAAAAAATAAACAAAACAAAGAGAGAGAGGGAATGGCAAACAAAAAAAGGGAAATTAAAGAATAAAATTAGAAAAAAAAAGGAGGGAAATTAAAAATAAAAATAAAAAAAAGAAAAAAAAATAAACATAAAAAGAGAAAGAGAGGAAGCTTTCAGACGGTCAGTCAAGGAATCGAACACACGGCATAATGAATTCTATGAGTACCACTTAGACAGCTATGTTGAAGGCAATTCCTGGAAAAAAATTGTAGCTCAATAGTTATCTAACAATTACAAAAATTGGAGGCCCTAAAAGTTTTCGATTTTTCGGAGGCCCAAGGCGACGGCCTTGCTCGCCTTGGGCTTGGGCCGGCCCTGGTACTCGTAAAATCCAGCACTACAAATAAACCTTCAATAACCCAATAACCTTCTGCTTGCAGTTTGATCTGCTCGCTACATCCTCACGCCAATCTCCTTCCAGCCTATACCGGAACATGTAAGGTAGTATTGGGCATCAACTAGATCCAGATCCAGAAGCTCTGCTAACTGCAACTCACACTACTCTCTCTCTGTCACAATATCGTTGTCGACGACTAGCCTGTCCACACGCAAACACAGGATCACTTTGATCATCTGAACATAGTGTAGCGTGATGGTCATCTCGCCCCAAGGCATGTGGATCGGAAACTATTCGTCTCCGGCGGCTGCCACCTCTCGACAAATGCTATTGATAGGCCCTTGTCCACATTGCGTATGTAGCAATGCTCTAACATGTCAATTCCATATACCTCCAACTACTCTATTTCGTCCTCGCCATATGGTGCCATGTGTTCCTTCAACATGTCTTTCGTAAACTTCGTTAGCGCAGTAATCCGAGACTCAATTCGCCCCAAACAGCACTCCTGCACAAAGAAGATTTATTAATAAAAACGACATAAAAACTATATACTAAAACAAATATAAACTTACAAATTCATTCCAAACGTAGGCGACTGACTATATGACTCTTAAAACTGGGAATGAGCTCAAGATTAGTCGGACCGCCCGGATACGGTGTCTCTAACACAATCGACCCCGACATAGTCTCAAAATCATATCGCGCGGAACTTTACTAACAGTACCCGCCTAAATCGGAACACCACCATCATCATCAGAAGTGTCGTCCCCGTCGTCGTCATCATAGGGGTCGGGGTCCGAGAAGACCCACCTGCTAGATCGGGTAAATCGGGTAAATCAGGTAAATTGTCGCCCCATGCCCTCTCACTAACTCTCCTACACCGCTCAGATGTAATCATAGCCTGGCGGGCTTGTTGACCGGCCACAACCTCGGGATCTCGGGGAGATCGAATAACGATTCTCGGAACCTTCTCTTTTTCTTTTCACTTACCGACCATCTGTACAAATAAACCTTTAAATTAGTTCAATAAATATAATTAACTAAATCTGCAATTAAAGTACGTTTGTAACTAAATTGTAAATGAAATTGATTGATAATACTAAGATTACAAAAAAATACCGTAATCGAGAGTCGTACAATACGGATTGGAAGCCAAGATTTTTTTAGAATGTTGAATGTGTTGGGAGAGTTTGGGAGATTGAAAGAGAATTTCAAAAAAAAAATCAAATGAATGAGATTACGCTGCATTAAGTAAAAGTCCGGCTGCAAATAGCAACATCCTTCTTATAACTGAAATTTGTTTCCAAATTACAGGCGACAAATGAGTTTTTTTAGTCTTACAGTTTTCTAGTTTTGAATTTTAGTCTACCATATTTCAAAATTAGAATTTTAGTCTTGTAAGTTATAAAAGTTGGGAATTTTGGTCTTATGACATGCTCTAACAGATAATATGATGGTTGGTTGAATGAGTTGTCATTTAATTTATAAAAATAAATAGATTAAAAATAAATTAGATGATGTGGCTAATGAGTTGGATGGTTTTGAAGGAAAATGTGATCATCAATGTCGAAAACACTAAAATAATGCGAAAATTTGAACATATTAATTAATATATTTATTTTTTGTTATATTTTTGCAAAAAGAACCTTAATAAACCATTGAGTGAAATATACCCTTATATTTTTTATGAAGCAAAATAAGCCTAACTAATGTTTAAAATATTTCTTAGTTTTTATTTGAAAAAAATAGTAATTAAATTCGTATTTATCTAAATATTGCAATTTTTTCTTACAAAGACACAAAAATAATGGGAAAATTTAACATATTAATTAATATATTTATTTTTTGTTATATTTTTGCAATAAAGAACCTCAATAAATCATTGAATAAATGATACCATTATATTTTTTATGAAGGAAATAAGCCTAACTAATATCTAAAATATTTCTTAGTTTTTATTTGAGAAAATAGTAATTAAATTCATATTTATTTAAATATTTCATTTTTTTTTACAAATCTATGCATAGTGATCACAATAAAATTAAACCAACAATTAAATTCAACAAAAATACACAAAAAAACTTTATCTTAAAACTTGTTGTATAGTTAAATGACATGCACAACCATAGTTAGTATAAAAAATCAAACCCATATTTTATAAAAAATAATAAAATATATTCAAAACTCTATTAAACTAAATGTACAGAAAAAAAAAAAACATTCTAGAGCCTCCAACATAGAATACGTTATCAAACCAAGAGTAGCAAATATCCATAACGAGTAATAAAATATAGTTAATTGTTATTTTTATTAATTGAAAACTATGAAATATTAATTAAAAAATAATTACTACAAAAATATTTATTTCATTCATCAAATAAAAACAAAATTAATTGTATATTTTATTTCCCTCCAAAATTGTCCAATTCATCAGCCACATCATCTAATTTATTTTAATCTATTTATGATTATAAATTAAATCCAAGTCATTCAACCAACTATTGCATTACCTGTTATAGCAGGTCGTAGGACCAAAATTCTCAACTCTTTTAACTTACAGTACTAAAATTCTGATTTTGAAATATGGTGGACTACAATTCCCAACTAATAAACTTAGGGCTCGTTTGGTTTGGGTGATGTGATAACATGGATTGATAATTAATCCAAGAATTGTACAGTTCAAAATATCTCCTAACCAACTAATTTGGTGTTTGGTATGGGTGATTGATGATCCAATTAAAAATACCATTTTATTTCTTATGGATGAAATTTATGTAACAAATATGAAAATACCCCTAACTTAAAAATAAAAACATATTTAACATTTAATAAAGTCAATGCAAAAATTTCGACTGTGACTCTCTTTCGTACATTCTACTCTAGGGTTCCGTCTTTTGAACTTATCCACCAGATGCAGCACGAATCCGAAGCTCTTAAGGTAAATTAAATTTATTTTACAATCATCCATTCAATTATAATTTTGATTTGTATACTTCGCACAATGCTCATGATTTTTTTTAAAATTATTTTTTCAATATGAGTTCGAAATCAAACTATGTGTGAAATAGGGCAAGCTACCATTCCAGTGACAGTGGGGAATCTAATCCATACTGTTTTGGGTTACATTTTCGTTGTCACTGCGGTTTGAAAGCGACAATTAAAACCTCAAGGATCGAAAAAAATCCAGGAAGACGATTTTATTGTTGTTCATTGAAAGAGGTAAGTAATTTAAAATTTAAATTATCTAATTCTTTCGGAAATATTTTTACTGATTTTTTTTTTGAGTTGGAAAAATATTTGTAGGAACATCGTTGCAATTTCTTTAGATGGTGAGACGAGTCCATTCGCGAACCATCTGTTGAGGTTATATCTAGGTTATTGACAAAGATTAATCGTTACGAACAACAGAATTCTAACTTGCAAGCCAAGGTATAATTGTACAAATGTAAATTCCAAACGATGAAGGTACTTGGTTGGACTGTTATAATTAGTATGTTGTTCTTAATATTAATTGTTTATTATGTGTTAGGTGGTGTATGTCCAAATTAGAAGACTTTTGTTCAAATGTTGTTGTGTACCCATTAACCATATAATTCATACTCTGAAATTAATTGTATGATATCTAAACTTGAGTAGTAATTTTAATTGCAAGATCTCCATATTGCATTGTGCTTATAAATTTACTCTGACTTGTCATGTCAAAGAGGGAATTTTTTTAATGCATTCATAGGTAATTAATGTTTTTCTTCATACATTGATAGGTTATTAATGTAGTGTAGTTGGATTCTCATTTTATCGATAAGAAAAAATGTATTGTAGTTGGCAAGTAGCAGTTTTTTCAGAATTAACTTATGCGTATGAGCTTTAGGTGTGTATTAAATTTCTCGCTTTTCCAAGAAGAATACTAATTGATGTGTCTAATCATAATTAGGCCTATAAACCTAAATTAAGATTATGCCCAAACTGCCCTAATTAATCTAATTGTGTGTGAAAGCTCAATTAGATTACTTTTTACCCTTAAATGACAACACAATGTCCCACATCGGATTTCTACGATAGTTCTACCTATTCATCCACCTATAAATGTATGTTTCATTTCACATACGAAGGTACACTCTAATTTGGCAATTAATTATTATTATTTGCTTATATTATTGCATCTTGTGATTTGAGCGTCGGAGGATAATCGCCGGGCCAAACTCGGCGTGTCATCTAGTGTTTCAATTGTTTTGTAGGTTAACGAACGGAGCAGTCCCTTCGACTACCTCGGACACGTGGCAGTGACTCTCGGCATTCTCTACCTTTGTGGGCTCAAGGACTCTTGGGTTGCCCAATTGGCATTTGAGCAACATCATTTTGGCGCCGTCTGTGGGAATGCAAACTTGATCACATGACACGGTAGGAGGTGGTCAATGTAGTCCCAATCCGCCTCAACAAGGAGCCGGCGACAGGATCCCGGATCCGCCACAAAGAAAGAGGACGGCGGGAGAAACCGACACTGCGGGACCTTCAGTGCCGATCATCCAGATGACGGCGGATGAATTGCAAGCCATGATGGACGAGACCGCGGCCAAGGCAGCAGCTTGGGCAGCAGCGGACGCAGTAGCTCAATACATCAGTGCTCAGGGCCATAGTGATTTCGAAGAGTCGATTCTGTCAGAAAGCGATCCTACGGATCCCGCTCACGTCCATGTGACCCCGCCCATCGTAGAGCTCCACGACTCTGAGGAAAGGGTGTCGCTCAACGATCGAAGCCTTTCTTCAGAACGGGCTCCCCGAAGATATGCTCAGCCCCAGTCGTATCAGCATAGCTCAGCCTCGGACCAGGCCCCTCGAAGAGAAGCACGTGGTCGATCACCACGCCCCCTAAGGCAACGGGCTCCCTCAAGGGAGAGAGCGACGCGAGACCGCCGAGAGAGAAGTGGATCTTCTCGGCCGGGTGTTCCACGCCATGAGCCTCGATACGATAGACATCGAGGACGTTCCTTTTGCCGAGGCAACTCCCCTCAAGACGAGCATGGTAGTAGGTACTCTCAACCTGAAGAGACGAGAAGATGTCGCGAGAATTTTAACGATCGTAATTCAAGAAGTCCACGACGAGAAACTTCGAGATCAACAACCGCTCGCTTTGGAACGCTCCCCGCCCGAATAAGCCCCTTTATTCCGGCCATTATGGAGGAAGTTTTACCGCTCGGATTTAGGATCCCCAATCTGCCCAAATTCGATGGAACCGGAGATCCCCAGAATCACCTTAACAATTTATTCGCTAAGATCGACCTTTACGGCCTCAGCGACACCGCCTACTGCAAAATTTTCCAAACTACCTTAACTGATCAAGCAGAAACTTGGTTCAACGGTCTGCCTGGAGGATCCTTGGATGGTCTAGGCCAACTATCGGAACGTTTCCTTAGCCAATATTCCATCAACAAGAGATACGCCAAAACCGGATCGTACCTCTTCAAAGTCAAACAGCGCGAAGGAGAACCGTTAAGGGATTATGTACAACGGTTCGTCAAAGTTGTGCACGAGGTGCCCAATGTTAACCACAACCTGCTAGCCGATATACTGCAACATAATTTGAAGCATGTTCTCTTCCAAGAATCCATCGCAGGCCGACCCCCGCAAACTCTGGAGGAACTTATGAACCGCGCGGAGAAATTTATCCGGATAGAGGAGCCTGTAGAGATGGGGCTCCCCGTGAAGAGGAGGCGCGAAGAAGAGCGCCATGATACAAAAAGGAAAGAAGAAGGACGCTCGAACCACGCCCCTACCTATCCAAAGTTCACTCCCTTAAAAGCAAAACTCATGGAAGTATGGATGGTAGCGGAGCAGAAAGGTTTAGTCCGACCCCCGAGACAGATGAAAGAAAATTCGAAAAGGCAAAAATCGGAAAAGTACTGCGAGTACCATCGAGATCAGGGCCACACTACCGACGAATGCTTTCAACTTAAGCAGGAAATCAAGAGACTCGTCAAGAAAGGACATCTGGGAGAATTCGTGGATACCCCGCGACACCAGGAATTAAAAAATAAACCCCACTTCCAGCAGAAAGGAGAACATCCCAATCCTCGGAAAGATCGGGAGGATGACAATCTTCCGACTCAAGGAATAATTGCAGTCATTTCCAGAGGACCGTCGAGTGGTGACACCCCCAGCGCACGACGCGCGTCAATGCGGGTTGCAGGAGGCTCGTACTGTACAACAGAACGTCCGGCAGGACATGTTTACCATGTTCACCACCCAAACCCAGAGATTACATTTAGCAACGACGATCTCGAGGGACCACGTGGTGAACACAACGATGCGTTGGTCATTTCTGCATCAATTTCTAATTACTTAGTGAAGAAGAGTTTGGTAGACGGCGGTAGCTCGGCTGATATTATATATTACGGCGCTTTCGAAAAGCTAGGGATAGCCAATGTGAAACTCGCACCCGTGAAAACACCCCTATGGGTTTTGCAAGACACGCCGTCGAAGCTTTGGGAGAAATTTCCCTAGTCTTGTTTTTGGGCTCATTTCCATGTCGGGCAACAAACACGGTTAACTTCTTGGTCGTCAAGGCACCATCAACATATAACGTGATTTTGGGGCGGCCAAGTATGAACCTCTTCAGAGCAATCCCGTCAACATATCATATGAAGTTGAAATTTCCTACAACTAGCGGAATTGGAGAAGCCGTAGGCGATCAACGCGTAGCTCGAGAAAGTTATGCGAATACTTTGAGGGCACCTCAACTTCGGAACAGAAAGCAAGTGGGAGGAGGGGATGACACTCCAAAATTTCCTAAAGAGAAAATGGGTGATGGGTGTTAAAGACAACCTCTTCACCCCCTCGACCAATCAAGAGGCCAGCGGCACGAGACTCGCAATAGTAGAAGAATTGAAAAGTGTAGAGTTGATTTCGGGCGATCAAGATAAATTACTCTGAGTTGGAACCAGCCTTGAGCCCGAAACAGAGGCGAAACTCGTAGATTTCCTCCAAAGAAAAAGTGATAGGGAACTTGAAGAAATATTTCGTTTAGCACCTCAGGCGTGCAACTTTTTTTTAATAATAAATCAGGAGCGTATCGCTCGCTATAATGCTTGAACTATGGAATAAGTCGGGAGCATACCGCTCGCCGCAACGCTTGAAATTATGTAATAAGTTGGCGGCATATCGCTTGCCACATAAAGTTAAATAAAATGCTTTAGCTGGACGCATATTGCCCATCCCAATCCACAACCGTTCTACTTTATGTCATTTCAATTCAATATTTTATTCCATTTTAATTTCATTATTATTTTTGTTATTATTATGCAGTACTTGTTTCAAAAAGTGACCTCACGACACTCAAACAAAAAAAATATATCATTGATTAAAGCTCAAGGGGAAGATAACAAGGATCATGAGGGTCTAGCCAACTCGAACTTTGTTATCTCACTCCCCAAAGCTTAAATTGATAGAGAAATCAAATTCTCAAGGACTCCGCAACGCTAAATTAAGAAAAAATGGCAAAACTGCGGAGCCCCTACATAAAAAACTTAGGGGACTGATCATCCACTAAGTACCAAAAAGCATTAAAATTGCGAAATTGAAAGGAGATAAAAATAAAAGTCCATTTATAAAGCAAATACGTGCAAATAAAAAAAAAAGAGAAAAGACAAAAGTCTTAAAAATAATTCATAAAGGAAATACTACTACTCTCAAGCGAGTAAAAACTAATAAACGACTGCAGTACTAGGCAGTCGGGTCAACACTTGCGTCCTCAGCTCCAGTAGCCTCAGGCATCTCATCAAACTCATCACCTTCTACCAGGGCGCCAATTTTCTCCGCCCCAATATCTGGCTCCAGTTCCAAAACGCTTGGCTCTATCTACCGCAGGATAGCCTCAGGGACAAGCTTCGTAGCACGAACTTGACCACGAATATCCCGCACGATCTCTGCAAAGAATCCACTAGCATAATTGTCCCAAATCTCGGTGTAAGACTCGCTCCCTAAGAACTTGTCGACCACCATCAAACCCAAAGGCGTGTTCAAGACGTCATCCGACCCCCTATGAGCTTCCATGAAAGTAAGCGCGTCGGTATTTTCATTCTCCAAATCTTTGCTTAACCTTAGCATCCGCCTTTACACGACTTGATTTTTCCTCGTCCGCACGGGTTGAGAAGCTCTGACTCTTTTTCTCCAAGGCACCTAGCTTCCCTTTTTCTTCGTCAAGAGACTTCTTCAAACTTTCAATCTCTAAGCGAAGGGAGGCATTGACACCCTGAACACCCGCATACAATGAATTAACGTTCATTTTCTCTGCTTGCCATCTTGGCATGCTCAGCCTCCAACCCCCTCCCGCGATCAATAATCAAGGGCACGAAAGTCATAGTAAAAAAAAAAAAAAAAGGAATTATTATGATTAATAATAATAATAATAGCAAATCAAATATAGATATGCGCGACGAATACGGTACTAACCCGAGCAAAGGAGGCAGCCAACCCTTCGATCATATCATCCAGAGGTTTCCCGGCGAGACGAGTCGAATCAAACTCTGTCGGGAAACCCATTACCTTCTCCATAGCCAAGGCACTATCAAGAACGTCAAACACCGAACCGCCATTTTGCGTCCTATCAACACCAGCAACAAAATTCCCTTTCCACGCATTAACGGGCGGTAACACCAACTCCTCAGCTCCTAAGGTGCGAGGTCTTTTTTCACGCACGGCGATAGGGGCGACACGGGTATCCCCAGAAGCGGAGGGCGTCTTGAGCTCACTCAACGGCAGCGGGGGTGCACTCACAATAGCATGTCGACATTTGTCGGCGGATTTGGGATCCGAGACTCCAGCGCTCTTCTTCACAGCCACCTCCGAACCACACGACGATCCCACCCCATGGACTGTCTTTTTCCCACTACTTCGATCCTCAGCAGTGCCCCTTCCCGACTCCCTCGCCACGGGCCTCGAGGCCTAAGGTGTGTTTCGAGACACGGGCTTCGAGGATCCATTGTTCATGCAATGACGTTTGAAGTCATTATAGCTCATCGTCTCACCTACAGAACACGAAAACAACAAATACAAAAATATTAGCTTCAAGAAGACTAAAAAGAAAAATAACGGAGCAGTCAATATATCGTAACTCCTCTACCATTAGAAAATAAAGTCAAAGGGTCGAAGCAATAATCGAAAAAACCCATTCCAATACAATCCATTTTAAGTCAAGAATATTCATTACTCCACTCAACGGGATGCACTTCACCCGATACAGACGGAACATCCCAATCATTCTGCACGTATAGGAACCACTCTTTCCAGCTCCCCCACTTACTATCATTTTTCTTCAAAAACTTGCATTTCGACCGAGGATGAAAATGAAAATTATGAGCTTTGTCCCTAAGCGGCTTCACAAGAAACATAGAGTGAAACAAATTCGCCGAAATTGGAAAACCCTCAGACTCGGCGCGATGGCAGAATCCTTTGAAGTAGAGAAATGCGTTCGGCGTTAATTGGCTAAGGCTTACCTTGACATCGCGACAAATTTGAACAAGAACTGGGTCGGGTGGCAAAGTGAATCCCACCAAAAATGAAGCAAGGTATACCGTAAAGTAGCCATCAGGAGGTGCGTAACATCTTCCTCCCTCACCCACAACCAATATCTCAATAGCACGATCGACACGTAGATGATCGAAAATCTTGGGAAGTTGACCGACTCTAAAGGAAGAATCAAAATTTAATTCGGAAAATATTTCAAAATTTTCCCCAAGAGAAGTACCGCCATAAAGGTCGACTGGTCCTTCCTCCTCATCAATCAAGAAGCTCTCGTCAACCTCGGGTTCAAGTCTTTTCTTTGACTCACGGCGCACGGATTTTTTTAGATTTCGGTTTGTCCCAAATACATTAATACGTCGAGACCACGCCCAAGTCTCAGGATCACTAGATTCTAACTCCACGGAA